GAACCAAAAATGGTGATCAGTGGTTTATGATCCGTTTCAAGGATAAAATGTCTGCCGTGGATGTACCTGTGAAATTTTTGTATGGCAAAAATGATACTCAGTGCCTCTTTTTCTATCTGAGAGTAACTTCTTTCTCCTGGGAGCAAAGTTCTCAAGCGTGTGCAATTGGTTTTCTAGAACCATCTGGCATTATGTGTTGAATACACGCCCCTATCCCGTATGAACTAGCATCACTTGCCACTACAATATCCAGTTTTGGATTGTAATGGGTTAAAAAGAGGTCGGACGTAAGCATTTTCTTTTATTTCATCAAAGGCTTTCTGACATTCTACCGTCCATTCCCATGCCTTGTCTTTTTTAGCAGTTCATTCAACGGAGCTCTTAAATTGTACATTCCTTTAATGAACGCTTGATAATAATTTGCAAGCCCTAGAAAACTTTTGTAGCATCGCCACATTAGTGGGCGTCGGCATGTCTCTAATCGCAATGGACCTTTCCGGATCTGGACATCTGCCATTTTTGTTGATTATGTGCCCTAAATACTTAATTTCCTCCAAACCAAATTCGCACTTTGACTCTTTGACTTTAAATCCAAAGTCCTGAATTTTTTAAAATACTTGATTGAGATGCTCGATGTTCGTCGACCGATTCGCCCTTACTATGATGTCGTCTAAGTAAGCGCACGCAAAGTCTAAATCATTCAGTATGACGTCCATAGCTTGTTGAAAAATGGCAGGTGCCACTTTAATACCAAAAGGAAGCCTGTTGTACTTGAATAACCCTCTATGCGTGTTTATCCCTAGTAACTTCGAACATTCCTCTTCGACGGGAATTTGGAGATAGGCATCTGATAAGTCAATTTTTGAAAATATAACTCCACCATTTAGCTTGTTAAAAATCTCCTCCGGACTCGGTAACGGGTAATGGTAGTCCTTAATTACTGAGTTCAACCCTGTCGAAAAAATCAACGCAGACTCTGACTTGGTTTGATTTCTTTTTTATGCACACAATCGGCGCAGCCCATGAATTAGATTCTACTTTCAAATAATTCCCATTTTTTCCAACCTATCAAGTTCTTCGTTAATTTTCTCTACACTTACGAAAGGCACATTACGTTTCTTTTAAAAATTGGCATAGTATTTTCCTTTAATTCGAATTTGGCTTCAAACTTGTTACATCTTCCAAGACCAGGTGTGAAAGTTTCCGGAAACTTTTTTTAATTCCTCATTAATGTCCTGTCTTGTTTATGATTACTTTCTACTTTTCTGCAGAAAGAGTTTAACGGTTTATCCCACAATTCGAATGTTTCAATAAAATCTGTATCCATCAAGTTTTCTCCATTTTCAGAATGAAAACTTTTATTTTTTTAACTATCCTGTTCAATTTCATGGGAAGTACAACCTTGCCTTCGAATTTAATTTCCTTTCCAGTCACTGTTCGAGCGCTTTTGTTGACTTCATTATTGTAGGCCTTTTTAAAATTTTCCATGTTTTATAGTTCATTATTGTTAAATCTGAACCCGAATCGAGTTGAAATTTGATATTCTTTTTTAAATATTTCAGTCGTCACATATTTCCTCAAATCTCTATCTGATTTGATATTTGAATTTGTTTGACTAATTCGGCTATTGACTTTTTTTCGTTTTACAACACGACCCTTTGTGACCATTCTTGTGGCAATACGAAAACATTTTTTTTTTTCTATATGGGCAATTTACCTCCCAATGTCTTTCGTTGCACCGTCTACAATTAAATGGCGGAACCATTTTTTTACCTTCCTCATTCTTTTCATTTAATTTTTTTTTTTCTATTTTTAAAATACGCCGAATTTTTAATCCAATTTTTTTCTGATGGGTAATTTGACTGTTTCTTCACTTTTTTAATATAAAGCAATACCAGCTTCTTCAATTTTTTGAGACTCTTTTTTTAAACTTACGGCCCACTGACACTCCTCTGCTAACTTTTGCAGGGTAAGGTTTTGTTCAGATTCGAGTTTAGACAAAACTCTACGTCTTATTTCGGCACTTTTACTGGATACCAGACCTTGAGCAAAAATTAAACACTTGAATTCTTCAACCGTAATCTCTGCCAATCTGAAATTGTCACAATGTCTATTCACTATAGATGCATAAGTTAAGTAATCCTGATCGTCGGATTTAGCGACATTTATGCATAACCATCGCTTATGCCAAAGCGACATATTTGCTCCAAACAACTCCTTTAGCAATTTCACTGTTTCCGAGAATTCCAATTCATTTGTTCTTCTCGGTAGAATAAAATCTACAAATTTGCTATGTTCTGCTGTACCTAGCTTTCTTAGTAATAGACTGACTTTTCTTGAATTCGACCAGTTTTCACAGTCTGTGTGGAAAATATCTTCATATCGTTTAAAGTACGCTTCAAACGTTTTTCCTTCGTCTGGCACATAGTTGAAAGTTTCCAACGAATTAAATATGATGTTATTAGAATATGAAGAGTTACTTTCATTTGCCTGATTGTTGTTTAATTTCTCCAATGTTAACTTTTGAATTTCCAAAACCTTGACATACATTTCTTCCTGTTCCCTTTGACGTTGCTGACTCAACTCCTCTTGCCTTTCTTGATAATTCTGCTGTGCTAATTGTTGTTCTCTTAATAAGGCAACCTGTTCACTTTGTTGTTGCAGACTCAACTGCTGGGATTTGAATAATTCAGCTTGACTCAACTGCTGGGCTTTAAACAATTCAGCTATGACTTTGGATAATTCCTCCATTTTTAGCTGATAGTGTTCATGCAACAAAGAATATACTTTTAAATTGTTTATCCACGAATATACTATAAGCAGACAAAAAAAAAATTGAAACAACTTACGCCTTTTTTTTTTAATTTTATGTCTTGCTTTATAAAAATATTGTTGAGCAACCAAACAAAAAAAAATAAACAAATTTTTTTTTTTTTTTAGTTCGCTTACCTTTCAAAGTCGACACGTGGTATTTGTGCTCCTTTTAATTCCATGCATGTTTTTTTTTCGGTTCCAGTCGCATTTTTTTTTTTTTTTTTTAGTCGGCCAGCATTTTTTTTTTTTTTTTTTTTTTTTAGTCGGCCAGCATTTTTTTTTTTTTTCTTTTTTAGTCGGCCAGCATTTTTTTTTTTTTTCGCCGTTATTTGTTTACGCCACCTTCCAGATTTTTCTGAGTGAACGTTCCTTTAAGCTTAGTCGTCCTTTAACTAGTTTTAACTGTCCAAACTTCAGAATACTTTTCCGTTCCATTAGATGTTCGACTTTTAATTAATGATTTTTTTTTTCCAGCCTGGGTTCTTCCACTTGTCCCAATTATTGAAGGCTATCAATTATTAATTCTTTTTTTTTTTTCCGAAACGTAAAGTTCTTTATACCTCGTCGCCATTGTTGAAGCTTGAATAAGCATGGAATAATAATAATACAACACAAAATGTACGTAACAAAATGTATTGAAACAATGAAAAAAGGTACACAATATTTACAGGTAGTTTTGGTATATTTTTGGGAAGACTGTTCCTGCAGAATGGGTTGACTAAGTCGCAGTCGGGCAGAGTCTCTGGATTCGATCTCTTAATCTTCCGTCGTCTTCCGGTACCAACCCATATTTATATGGTCGGTACTCCACTTATGTAAATTAGGTGTATCATACACAACAATTCTACACTTGCTTCTAAAGTCATATCATTCGCTTATAGCCATTCTAGGATCTTATGTTTGTATGTAACGTCATACATGCCTACAATTAATCTTAGAAGGATCAATTCATCTTCTGTAGACATTTCCCTTGGATCCAGTTTTTCAAATTCACAATATCTGGATGCTTCTTTTAAATTTATTATCTTGTTTCAAATATCTGCCCGTGTGCATTGGCAAATGCCTTACATTGCAGTTTAATTTGGGTTCTATTTTCCAAAAATTTTGTTCTCTCTACAATAACCATGTTTCTTTTCATACTGGTTGAAATTTCCTCTTATGTTAAGTCTTCCAGTATTTTGGGGGCACAGCATAATGGATATTTTTTTATGGTTTCACATCCTGCTGAAGTCAAAAGTAAATCAGTAATTTCATTCTCCCCTCTGGAGGCTTTCTTGTTTTTCAGTTTCTTTACCCTAACCAATGCTGTGAAACATCTAATCCCAGTTTCTATGTGCTCTAGCTCATCCAATATGGTTAGGGATCCTATCGGTGACGCCATGTTGTTATGAAGTAGAATAATCTCTGGAATAGATGTTGTCAGTTCAACAGATGGTAGCTCGACTGGCATTCGCTGTGGTGTTCTGCTTTTATAGCAGTACCTCATTTACATACAATACTACAATCACTTTTCTCCAACCAATTTTTCAAGACTCTACATGCATGAGCAATAAAGAATTGAGCAAGTATCAAAGATACTTCTAAGACTTCCTTAACATTGTGCAAAATATGAACCTGGGAACATTTACATCAACCTAATGGTTTGAAATATCAACTCAATGATAAACTCAAATTTAACTTTTTAAAGTTATCTTACATTGTAACCTAGAAAAGGTTACTGAATAAGAATAACCAAAATGAAGGTTGGAAATGGAACACTCATCTTTATAATATTAATGACATACAAGACTCACCAGTGGCGTGTAGTAAGTAATCTACTGCTAATGGTGAACTTCTGGTGTATCCCCTCAGACAGTATATTCCACTGTATTTATGAGGATTGGGACATACACATTATAGTCTATAGGTATGGTATAACATCTTAATAGTGTGATTTTTCTCATAACATTTTTAATAACTGACTTACATGTTAAGAAAGAAATTGAATTTCAAATAAAAGTAAGTTTTATTTTAAAATGTACTGTTCTACTACTTCATTTTTTTTAAATTAATATTTTTTTAGGCATTGCTTAAGGAAAATGAATAACGACCACCAACAATGGGAGAAGTACCAATTGAAACAGAAAGCACTGAAATATTACCAAGAAAATAAAGTCCCTCAAAAGATGGAACATGTTCTCAATCTCATGTTTTATGAAGATCCTGTTGATGTGTTTGGCTATTTGGTATGTAAAGACATTTTTTTATATTTTGTCATTAAAATGATTTGAAACCTTTACTAGCATCACATTCATGTAATGCCTTTTAAAAATATACATACATATATATTACTTACAGCATGAAAACAAGGATAATATTTTGCACAAAATTGTTATTATCTTGTTTCAAATATCTGCCCATGTGCATTGGTAAATAAATGCCCTACAAGACAAATTACTCGCTATTCTGAACCCAAAGGAAGGTCTTATCCTTCCAGAAGAAAAATGGCAGAGTGTGTGCACATGCCGATGCCATTGACTCAATGTTACAAAGAAAAACCAGGGAAGACTCATTTTGTCATATCTAACAGAAAACAGTTGATGGAATAGTCCAGATATGCTGCCTATGGAGTTCATGGAATAACCCAGATGCACTGCTTTACAGATTAGCATATCTGCCTTCAAACACATAAAGTCAGTGACAGTGAACAAGTAGCGTAGGGGAGAAATCTGATCACGGGATGCATTGATTTGGATGTGTGAAAGTTAAAAAAAAAAAAAAATCATAAATAAAAAAATTTATACAGGCTTGAAAGTTTCAGACCAAGAATCATAAATCTTGATTTAGATGTGAAAGCTTAGTTGTACATCTTCAATAGACCACCAAGTGTTTAAACATTGTTAACAATAATTGTCAACACTCACCACCCTGTATTCACATGATTTTCAGCAGAATCTTCCAAGCTTTTCTTGTATTCAATTTCTTTGAAGAGAAATACGCAATTTCATCTATTTCATATTGAATAAGTAAAATTACTAATCATTTGAAACAAATTTCTTATAATAATTATTTTTTCAAAATTTTAATGACATTTATGTAATTAATCTATTGACTTTGGGCATTGCTTCAATCTTACTCTGGTCTAAGGATTATTTATTTTTATTAGAATTTTAAAAAATTCATATTCTATGGCTTTCTGCTATTTTTAGATCTGATATGTTCATCCGAGTTGCTCTGGCAGATAAAACTACAGTCAGCGGCGAAATTATTTGTACACTCATCAATTTTTAATATTTTTATCCATTTCTCAGAATCTAGTGCCTGTATGATGCCAGGTTTTTTATGTTAATAAACACAAAAAAGGAATATAAAACCCAATTTTCAGAACAATATGTTAAATGCAACAAATTTGATAGGTGAATTATGTAAGACAATATTATTCATACAGTATGAAAAATAGAAAAATTAAACAATTTTCACAATATTAATAGTTACAACATGTCCTCTCATTTTTATAACTTGCTACAATTGTTTTCCAAAGCTTTTGGTGAGATTTGAACAAGTCTTTTCTGGAATTTTTTTCCATTCTTCAATGGTTACACATTCTAATTCCTGAAGGATTTTGGTGACGACGATTTATTTGATATTTCAGTTTTTGCCATAGATTTTCAATAGGATTCAAGTCAGGACTCATTGAAGGCCATGGTAGAACTGTAATATTCTTTTTCTGAAGCCACACAGTCACTGATTTAGATGTATGTTTGGAATCATTATCTTGCTGGAAAGTAAATCGCCAACCTAGATGAAGATTTTGCGCTGATAATTGTAGATCTTCATTCAGAATTTTGGTATAATCTGCAGATTTCATTATTCCTCTTATTGCAATTAATTGTCCAGTCCCTCTTGAGCTAAAACAACCCCAAAACATCTCCATGTTTTAATGTTGCAACTGTGTTCTTTGGGAGGAAAGCATCACCTTTCTTGTGCCAAATCTTCTGTACATCATTATATCCAAAAAGCTCAATTTTTGTTTCATCACTCCATGGTACTGGTTCCCAAAAGCAATTTTCTTTGTCCGGGAATGTTTTGGCAAAATTAAACTGAACAACAATGTGGCATGGTTTGTGAAGAGGGGTTCATCGTGGTCAGTTTCCATACAACTCATTTTTATTTAAACAATGTTTTATTGTGCGAGTACTTACACTGCTACCCATCATATCCAAACTTTTCGCAATGTCTTTCAAAAAAACTCTTGGGTTTATATTAACCTTGCAACACAGTTTTCGTGCAGTTCTTAGTGACAATTTGGGTTTTCTTCCACACCCAGGCAAATTCCAAACTGTCGTGCCAAACTGTTTAAACTTCTTTATAATGGACTGTACTGTAGATCTAGAGATAGTTAACTGGTTTTAAATAGTGCTGTAACTATTTCCCAACTTTTGGAAGTTAATAATTCTCTGTCTCAAGTCAATGCTAAGCTCCTTTGTCTTCCCAATCATGTTGTTAACATAAGAATAACAATGGTGACACTCTATGCACCACGTGATGTTATTTGCTGGAATTATCACAAATATTCTACTGAATAGTCTAGAAGGCTAAAAAAAATAAAATTTTGTTGTGTTTTATAATCTGCATGTACTGAGGCATGTGTGTGTGTGTATGTATATATATATATATATATATATATATATATATATATATATATATATATATATATATATATATATATATATAGAGAGAGAGAGAGAGAGACATGTTAGAAGTAAATAGACACAAATATGTAATTTTATTTAGAAAGGACTAACCATCAACTGTAACAAGACAAGACAATGTATATCTGTCAGCAAGAGGTAAAGCCCAAGATGTGAACTATGAATTGGCGGTATCAAAATCCAGCTAGCATGAAAATTTAAATATTTGGGAAGCATTTTAACAGAGGATAGAAAATATGACACTGAAATACAAGGGCACATTGGAATATCTAAAATTTGCCTTCCCAAAACTAACCAAAGTATTAAGAAGCAGGAAAATTACATTAGAAACAAAGAAAAGAGTACTCAACTGTTATGTAATGTTAGTCTAAATGGCTGTAACTGATGGACAGTTTCCTCACAGATGAAGAGGAGACTTGAGGCATCGAGATGTTTCTACACAGAGATGCTGAGAATTCAATGGGAAGATTATGTGAGTAATGAGGAAGTTTTAAGGAAAAGGGAAACAAAAAGGATGCTTATACTTATAGTCAGGAAAGGATAGTTGGAATTTCTACAACAAATAACATGGAAAAAGAGCTTGGAAAAATCGACATTGACAAGGCATATTAAGGGACAGAGGGAAACAGCAAATAATCTACCTAATGATCTTGTGTAAATGAATTGCAGAACAGGTAATGAGAGTGATAGTAAAAAGACCACTGTTACTAAGTGCTATGAAGCATAGAAATTTGTGGAGAGCCATGATTGCCCACATTCTGAGGAAACATGACACAGAAAAGGACTTATTCAAAGATCTGAACAATTAAAGAATATTTAAAATTTGCTAAACTTTGCATAAGCAGATTAAACAGATTTTACTTTTCAGGCATTGAATTTAATAAATAGTTTATCTTCCCTTGTAGTGGATAAAACATTAGCAAGCTGCATTAAAAACGTGAAGCAAATCTTTTTATATAGAAGTTATTTTGAATCTTTTCCTCAATGTCCGAGAAATGTTTGGCCACTCCTGGCATACAGCAAAAACATTTCCAAAAAGGGTATTAACTAAGTCTCCTGACTTGAATCTTATTCAGGAGACTTAGTTAATAATGGTTTTCCTGTATGTCACGAGGCACATGTGCCTCTTTGATTGCGGATTGTGGAAATATGTTAGCTGAGCTTCTTTTTTATCACATTTAATATAAAAAGTAAATAAGAAAAATTTCAAACTTTATAATTATTTACTGGGTATGAATTAAGTTCCCATTGGATTAAAATGTAAGTTTAATGTTCATGGTTAGTAAAAGTATTGAAGAATTTAAATCCTAATTTTAATGCTAGATCTGCGTGAGGCATTATTCTTTAGTGCTGAGGGTTACAGAGTAATGTCAGAAAACTTAGGTCATGGGTAAGGGGATTAAGGTGACCCCACTGACATTATGTACATTTAATGCAGTATAATATAAGATGTTGAACTGTGCAGACCTAGTTGGTACACTTTGGATACAATTTTTGTTTAAAACTGTCTGAAAATTTTGTGAAGGAAGATGACCTCCTTAAATTGTAAGAAACGAAAATATGGAGATGAAAATAGAAATTTTAAGCCAGAGTGGGAGGAAGATTTTGCATTCACCATTAAAGGGGGTAAATCTTTGTACCTTATCTGCCATGTGTCACATGTGTAAATTTTATTCGTCTTGCGGTTCTCAAACATCTGAATTTTATCGTATGTTGTTCTTACATTAAACAAATTTGGCCACCCCTACTGTATACCATGCACTTCTATCCTTTATGAAAAGGTTGCTTTTTTGGAGGGGGGCACATAGTCATCAATTAATATTGAGAGACCTCTATCTTGCAGAATGGTTATGTATTTATAAGCAGTTTTGTATCCAAATGTAAACAAAGCAATTTCTAATAAAGTAATTTTATAATTTATTAATCTTGACAGATTTTATCACTTTAAAAATTATGTTTAGTGGATACTCATATTTGAGTAGACGCTTTGTTTATTTATTAAACAGTATATTTATTTATTTTTGTCAACCAACCTGAATATTCGAGAAATCTTATTAAAGAAAAATATGTGCTCTCCAGCAGTATTCAAACCTGCACCCTCTGGGTAGAAGGAAAAATAAATATACTGTTTAATAAAGAAATGGATCACCTACTTAAATAGGAGTATCCACTAAAAATAATGCTTAAAGTGATAAAATATTTGTATCTGTTATATGCATCTTTCTGGCTCTCTCTCTTTAAGTAAAAAATAGGTATGTACATTCAGACATATATTCGCTCATATACATGTATATATGGTAATTATAATATTAAGTAGATGTAAAATGATTTCCATTTGCTTTGTCTTTGTACATTATCATTCTAATATACAAGTTAATGTTTTCATAATAAATTTGGTATTAACCAATTGATATTGATAAAATGTCCACAAGATAATTTGAATTTCAGTTTATAATATTTATTTTTATTAGAAATATTCATAACTTATCTGGTTGCATGAGATTTTATTATGCAGTTGAAAGTTTTGTTCATCTTATTGTAAATAAATATAAATAATAATATAGCAATTGAGTTTTATGGGTTAATTTTAGATATATAAATATTTCTATAGGTCATATGAAAGATGTAAGCTCAAAAGAGAAAAGAGATATTGTAAAGTTATTGAGTGACAAGACACAACATTGGAAATTTAAAAAATATTTTAACTAAGGTCATAGAATTATTAAAAAAAAATTTGAAATAATTAGTAAGATAAGAAAAACATTGTTTTAAGAATATCATGAAAAGAGATTTCAGAAAAATTAAGAGTAGTAAACAAGAAAACTGGGTTGACAACTAAAAATATTTGAAGAAACTGATTGTGTGAATGTAAAGAGAGAAAAGATGCAGAATATTATGAACATTAACTGAAGACATGGAAGCAGCAAAACTAACACCTTTATATTCACAAAGAGAAACATTTATGTCAGGCAAAGTACATGAAAACTGATTTTTCAACAATAATTTTAGAGATGGATATAGAGAGCTATATTATATGGACTTTAAGGTTGGGTCCTTCATAGAAATTGTCAACCAAAAGTTCTTGGAAAGTACATTTGTTTCATTGATACAGGCCACAATAAAGAAGCTTTATGCTAAAGAGTATATTCCTGCAAGGTAATGCTATTTCATATTCTGCAAAGCTGACTATTGCCCACATAGGTTTCAAGAACACTACATGAAGAAAACGACCTAACCCTAACCAGATATTAATGAAATAGAAAACTTTCAGTGATTAAAATAGACATATAAGTGAGAGTGGAAATATTCAAACAAACAATATATCTGAGAAGCAATAAAATCTAGTCTACAACAAGTAATATTAAAATTGAAATTGTAGAAAATTTAGCAAAATCAATGGTTGAAAAACTGATGAAGGCTATAGAATACCAAGGAGCCAATATTAACCTATATAATAATAAAATGATTATTTATTGAGGTGTATGGGATAGTGTATTAATGAATAAAATATAGGTTTATTTGGCTTATATCTTTTGAGTTTGTTTATAAATAAAAATTTACATTGCATCCTCACAATATATTGCTCACATAAATATATTTTTGGATTTTTTCAACTTTAGTTTGTTAATAGAAATTTTGTTGTGATTGATTCATTTTCTATAGTTTATCAAGCCAGAAAATATTTTTAGATTGTCAGAATTCTTATTTTTTTGGGGAGATGATTACGATTTAGTGTTACAAGTCTTACTAATTAACCCATAGTTGGAGGGAGAAGAGCTGGATTCATACCTTTCCCAAGGGTATTTGTACATAAGTGAATATAATGAAAGCAATTGGAAATTCAGCTCTACAATTAACAATTCCAAGCCATTATCAATTACACCACCTGCATATCCAAGCTTACAGCACTTGGCATTCCCAAACAGTCACCCATCTAGGTACTGATCAGGCTTGACATTGCTTAGCTTCAGTGATCTTATGGGAACCGGTGTTTCAATATGATATGGCTGCAAGCCCAATTTTATTATGAAAACATTGACTTGTATAATAAAATCTGACAATGTATATCTGTTTATGCAATTCTATATACTTATATATTTGTTTATTTATTTATTCTTCTTGTTACTGTACAATGCACAATTAAATTGGACAACAGTCCCCAGGTGCACCAACACACACACACAAAATAAAATGCACATCACTGAATGAAGAAAAATGATGTTTAAAAATATGCTTAAAATTGTCAGCATGTAGTAGCATTCATTATACACAAAGCCCAAGGATAAAAGCTCTTCTTCAAGCATTTTGTCCTATATATATGTGTTTGTGTATGTGTGCAAAAATGTAGAAAAAACACATCTTTTTGTGTGTGTGTGTATGTGTGTGTGTGTGTGTATATATATATATATATATATATGTATGTATGTCTCTTTTTGACTTTGACTCAATAAAGATATGCATATACATTTGGGCATCTGTTAACTCATATGCATGCATGTGCATCCATTGAAATGCATGTGTATATATAATAAATATCTATGCCAAGGCATATAAACAGTGGTATACAGGTGTATATCTGCATACAAACATATGTATGTGCCCAGCAGATATGTGTGTGGGCATATGATCGTCATTGTGCAGCTAGAACTAACTGCTGCCATTATATAACACATACTCTTTGAGTCTTTTTTATCTAGGATATTGAAAAAGCACTGAATCCAGAAACACATTGCTATGTTAGTAATTTTGGTAATCTCAATGCTGGCTTCTGTGTTTGTGCAATTTGATCTCTGGTCTGGCAGGTTGGCTTGGAAGCAGGCAGGTGTTGGCACACACTGCACAACTGACAATTGTTTGCCTGTTATTTCAGTGGTATACAAACTATAACTTTTACTTATACTGTATATGCTATTTTGATATATCTCTCATTTAATTGATGTTTGTGAAAATTGTAATGTGTGTCCCTGGATTTGTATAATCATATGTTTTTGCTCTTTTAATTAGAATCATGGATTATATCTAAACTGAAAAAACTTAGTAAAAATGTTTTGAATAATGCATTATATTTTTATGCTATATTTTGCTGCTGACAAGTGATTATATTTGCAAAACTGGCAATTAATTTTGTATAGGTTATGCACAAAAATATTCTGGCCAATATTAGTTGATGTATATTGTTTTAAGATTTTTTTCTTAAGTTACATTCAACTTTATGAATTTGACTGAATTGACAGAAAACAGACTTTAAATATTTTTAACTGGTAAAGCAATCATTCATTACGTTTGTATGCTTGTGTGCAAAGGAATTTAACTAAAAAATGATCCTAAAGAAATATAACTAAATTTAAATCAGAAGCAGTAATCCCAGTATATAAGTATATAATTTGTTATGTATCTTTGTTACTGTTCTATCTATATTTTCTGTAATTTGGACCATTTCCTGAAATTTCTTTTGAATTTAGTAAATAATTTGCCAAACTTTAACACTAAAGTTTTTATTGAAACATTATCATATATTATTATACAATGATTTATTTGTACTAGTGTTCTCATCTGATTATATATTCACAATGTTTTCATTGTTGTTCATTCTGGCCTTCAGATATATTTTATATATAAATTATAAACTTCAATCTGTTTTTAAAAGTTTCTGACTTTTGAAAATGGAGAAATTAAGTAATTTGGCATTTTCAAAAATGAATATGCTAAAACAGGCTCCAGAATCCTATTAATAATTGTTTAGTGGTTATTGCTGTAGTCAACCTTGAGATATGCAATGATAAATGATTTAGACTAAAAAGACATTTGTTAAATTAGTCAGATTATACACTGTTATACTAGTTTTCTCGCCATGGTTGTTACTGTTTCAGCCATTGTACACTTCGGCCTTCCTCAGATACATTTTATATTTTTTTAGTTGGGATAGTCATGTGCACATACATTTAACAAAATTTATTAATTATATAAAATTTCATAGTATTGCATAGTATGAAGACATAATGCCAACCTGCATTAAAACAATTATAATATTTCATCCCATTAACATCGTGTAAATAGTAATTCAACATATGTATACAAGTTTCTAAGTGAATAAATACATTGAGCTTAGTGACTTTCACTAATGAAGTAATACAGTTCTATCACTTACTTCTTGGACATTTGAAGTAAACTTGAGTCTAATTTCTGAAAACAGTTTTAAATGTATACTGAAATATACTTACTATTTCATAAAATTGGATAGACACCCATCAATGTGTGTGGGCTTATGTTTTGGAGGTTTTATTCAGGCATACATACACAACACTGTGTCCCTTAATAGGAAAAATTTGGAGGCCATATAAAAAGATTTTATATATGGAATAATCATTTAAAAAATAATTTTTGTTATATTTGAAATTGTTGAAAACAAATTTTAAAAATGTTCATTAACAAACAAGTTTTTTTTTTTCTTATAAAAAGAATATAGTGATAATATCTGATTTTATATATCTTACAAACAATTTTTTTTAAAATTTATATGAACAATGATAGTATTTTTGCCACAGAAACTTTTAAGAAATTGATAGATTTGTTTGTTCTTTTAAATTAATAATTTCCTTTTGTCTGTTGCAATACAAAAGTTTACAAACAGAAATTTATTGAGGGTACTTATTTATTCCTACATTTAACAATGATATCTTGTAATATAAATTTAGTTAAGATTTTGGAAAAATAAGTTGTAGGTTATGTCAATTCTCCGTATACACTGGCACAAGTCAGATAAAAAATGTTTTCCTTTATTTCTTCAGTGCACTTCTCATTTTTCCTTAATTTTATCTGTTGAAAATTTGATATCCTTGCACGTGTATGCACACATAAAAGCAAACCCATTTAATTTTTAGCCATTCTTTACCATCTACCTCTGTTTGCTCGTGTTGTGGGGTGCCCAACAGTCTTTAGCAGTGAAAAACAAATCCTTTGTATAAACTATATTCACTTTAGAGACAACCATTGCCACTGAATAACTGAAGAATTATAATGAATATATATGAAAAAGTTAGAAATTATTTTGCTGGTCACTTAATATTTTTCATGTTTTCAGATGCAAGCTGATATTTGTAATCATTTTACCAACAACAGCTTTTGCAATAGTCATAATTTGATACATAATTTATATTTATATGATGTTCCCGAATTATTGATATTCAATTTGAAAGATGATATTTTAAAGGGAATTATTTTTCTAAAACAAAAGTATCAAATACTTAAATATATGGAACTTATATTCTAAATAGCCTTTTGTACAATATATATTAAAATATGAAATATACAAACTTGATGGATTACATATTTTTTATTTTGGTATATACCAAGTTTTTTTTTTTTTTTATACTGTTAATCATAATCATTTGATTCATATTTTGTTTTACTTTTTTTATTCCAGGCTAATTATTTTGAAGCTTACACACAGCCAGTCACAATCCACAAAGTAAGTACTTAGTTATGATGGTGCTTGTTTATATTATTTTGTATCCAACAATTCCTCTATTAGTCAAAGTAGAAAATAATAGAATATAAATTTATACAGTTCAAAAAAAAATATCCCCAAAAATATTTTTTTAAATTTTCTTAATTTATATGTACATAAAAAATATCTAAATTTAAATACAAAAATTAGTAAAAAGTTAGGTTTGAATTTACAGTTTAATAGTTCTCAAGTTCTCTTTAGTAAATTTGATTATTTATTTTTGATAATAAATGAAATGAGAGTACTTTAATGAGAGGTACAGGGTGGCATAACAATTATCATCATGGGGGGAAACAGAATTGGCAGGCTCAGTCTAAATTCAAGCTGAGACTGTTTATGTTAATTTCACAATCATGCCATTGAGAAAGGCATGAATTTATGCCTCCCTTCACTCTCCCCATCACCAGATATCTTGACAAAATGGCATACCATGATGGTTGACAGCCATAGGAGTGTGTGTGTGTGTGTGTGTGTGTGTGAGAACTTAGGCAAATAACTCTTTCTTATCTACCTTAACATGCTCAAGTCATAACAGCAAAAGGCTGTCATACCAATTGTCAAACTTATCAGGGACAAATCATAGATAATGTTCAAAATAATCAAAATCAAGCTCTAACATATTTATACAATTGGCCTTTCATATTTGCTGGAAAAGTTCTGAATAGCAAAACTTGAACTTTCCATGCAGTGATCACTATGCAGAAATTTTTGTTTGCAGGTGAACAACTTTTCATAATGCCATTTTTCACAAATATCTCCTTTGTATATAATTTGTATTTCAGAATTTTCTCCAATATTTTTCTTACAAATATCACAAAACTTTTGATGATAAAATTTACTTTCATGCAAGTCTGTTTTGTTTTCCCACCTGCTATCAACATTTTTTGTTCATATCTAGAATATGATAACTATGTATATAGTGTTTACATTACACATTAAACACAATCTAAATATTATTTAAAGTATATATCAGTGGTGGGGGAAGAGCATATGGAATATATAAATAATACATTTTCAGCTAAAAAAACAAAAAAACAGTTGTGCGTCTGCAGATTTTGGTATTCATTGGGCAGTCCTGGAATTGAGGAACAACTATTTGATATTTATTTTTATTCAGTAATTTACAATTAATATTAAAGTATGTAGGTACAATAAAAGATAAAATCTCATTTTGATTAATTATTTTCTTATTTCTGCTCAGAGTACAAAGGTCAGTCAAAAAATAATGCCTATTGTAACTTTTTTAAAAGTATTAGAAATGTATATTTTTTATCTATAAAACAGAATGCATGTAGAAAAATTTGTGGAGTTTCTTTTTTTTTGATAACCATAATTTTCTTTGAAAATGGCTGCCTCTCTGGATGCAAGTCGAAAGCAAAGTGCTGTCATAGAATTTTTATTTTCGGAAGGAGAAAGTGCTGCAAAAATTCACAGTGAACATTTATAGAAAGATTGCACTTGATGTAAGCACAGTAAAGAAATGGCTATAGGAGGAATTGAGGAAAGGATAAAAGAGGAATGGGATTCAAAAGATGGCAACTGATGTTGAATTTAAAGTTTTGAAGATTATAGTTTTCAGGGAAGCAAGTAAATGGAAGGGAGTTCCACAGGTGGGGAGTGCGAGAAAAGAAACTGTTGTAGAAGTGGTGTTTACATTTAACTATTTCAACAGTAAAAGGGTGGGAGCTAGATGCCAATCTAGCAGCATGCTTAAATTCATATAGTCAGGGCAGCAGGGGAAAAAAGCTTGTCAGAGCAATTGTCATGAAAATATTTGTAGAAAAGACAGAGGGAAGCTACATCATGTCTGTGAGCAAATGACTCAAATTGAGATGCCAAGTCAAGATCTTTTTCAAGAGGAATAGCAGGAGCACCAGACCAGATATAGCAACAGTATTCAATGCATGGACAAATGGTAGATTTATAAATGTGCAAGATGGATTCTGACGATAAAAATTTCTGGCAGAACACAGTAACCAAACTTACCTTGCAGTAGATGCAGCTATTGATTCAATGTAGTTGTTGCACTTCAAGTCAGTTGAAAACGTGAGACCAAGAAAGCATAGTGTGTTGTTCTCCAGGAGTCTAACATCAGCCATGCTGATGGCAGGCAGGAAAGTTTCTCTATGGTGGTTAAATGTGAGCAGTTTAGTTTTGGAGGAATTAAAATTTACAAGTCATTTCCTGCCCCAGTTAACCACAAATTGGAGGTCCTTTTCAAGAGCAGGTTAACTTTGTCAGTTCTGATGGATTTGCTATTGACACAGTAGTAAATGGTAACAATTGTCCTGTAATACCATGACCCTGGAGCTTACGTAGAAGACAGTGCCAAACCCTGTCAAACACATTTGACATATCCACAGCCACAGCTTGAACTTCGCCGTTCTCATCAAGAGCTTGATATACATATTCAGTGATGGCTGTTTGCACATCAGTGGTAGACCAGGCAAAACAGAAGCCATATTGTTTGTCAGAGAGCAGATCGTGAGAGGTAAGATGCTTAACCATTGATTAAATTGATTAAAACCTCAGAAACTTTGCTGAAAAGCAGTAAGAGATTAATAGGGTGATAAAGGGATCAGAAGGTTCTCCAGAGTTCTTAAAAAACAGGAACTACAGAGGAAGACTTCCAATCAGACATATTGTTGCAATCAGACATATTGCTCTGGTACAGCTGGAAGAAGTAATTCCTGTAGGCTATAGCAACTGAGCATGTAGGTGAGAACCAAGGAGATGAATGCAATTTAACTTGGTATTTCCTTGCTGGAATGAAAGCATCTATGCCAGCTTTCACCCAGGAGGAGACTTCAGATGTGCATTTTTGAACAGGATGAATAAAAACTTAATTCCAAGAGACGTCATGAAGAAAATCATGGAACTAGTCCTAATCTGCTCATTGATAATAGAAAGATATTCTATTGGTAGGAAGTTCTTGGTTGGTGGGTGAGCAGAGAGATGTTTACAGACATTACCATATGATCAGAGTTACCAAGAGGGCAGAGTTGCATAGTATGATATGAGTCAGAGATAGAGGTGAAAAAGAGATCTAGAAGAGAAGCATGTCGATTGAGGTTATTATTTTAAGAGGAGGTGCTTTGATTTAGTGAAAGATTTTCAAGCTTGAAATTTATACTGAATTAATCATCTTTAATGTTCATGAGGTAGCTATTTGAAAGTTCGTTGATTTTTTTTAATATAGATATGTGCAGAATTAAAAAAAAGAAATAAATAGGATTATTGATGTAAATACCTATGAACTTCAAATAATTAACTTAAGCTTTTTACCAAAATAACTTTGTGAATATTGGCAAAGTTCATGAATTATTGAACTCACTACTTAAGACATAAACATTTCCCAAAATGTCAGTCTGTTTATATTCTGTATGATGTAGTGAATCCCCATAAAAATAAAGCATATAAACAAAGAATAAAAAGGATTCAAATTAAAATAAGGCATTTGCACTTTTCTTTAGAATCCTTATCTCTTTCTTTTTCTATCTCTCTAAACTTCTCTCTCAACTAATGTGAAGGCAACCTTCAACTAAAAAGAGGAAGAAGAAGAAAAGACGGAATCTGTCTGAAGAAACCCCAGATGTTTTCGGGAACAGAGCCTACTTATTTGTGACGAAAAACTAACAAAGATCAGGGTGGCTCTATATATAACTTCCATTATAAAAAAATGAAAAAGAAAGGAATGCTGGAAAATAAAATAATTTTGGCCAATCAAAATTATTAATAAAAAGAGACTTTTGATGTTAGCCAAAACCAATGTTCTTGCTAGAGTTTTGGAGCATGGTCAAAAGAATATAAGCTCACACCTCTGAGCTAGACAGCAGAAGGAGGATGGCAGGAGAGAAGAGAACAAAAGACACTACCCTGGAGAAAAGAGAGTGACACATGAAGAAATAGGTAAGAGGTCATCTGCTAATCATATTTCTGCTCTGCTTTGGACCAAGAAAAACAGTAGATTGACACTGATCTATTTCTAATATTACTACTACCCCTAGCACAATCTGATTTCAAAACTGCCAACACCAAATTGAAACAGTCATTTCTCCAGACTGCTACCAATATCCACCTATAAACGAACATTTTTGCTATACCGGATACCAATGACTCACTCATTACCCTAAAGCAAATAAATAAAATATATTATTTATTTTATACCCTAAAGTCCATTTGTTTTATATCTGAAATTTCAATAAAATAATTATCCTGACAATCATCCACAATAATATTGCATGATTTATCACTATTTCTATTATAGCATTTGACTTAAATTTGTATGATATTTTCCAGTACTTAGGAAAGAAATATTGCAAATTCACTTCATCATGATATATACAAGAAACATAAGATTTCAACTTTATTTTAAATTAATAAACAAAAAATAACTTAATACTCTCTTTAAACTTGTTCCTCCTGTAAATGGTAATTATTGTTGATTATGATATTAACATTTGAAGATTATTAAAACGTTTATAGTGAAGTGGTTGCAGAGAGAACAGTTATATTAAATCTTGACTTTGTTATACATTGGTTAATTTTATTCATTCTCAAAATTCATCCATTTTCTGTTGTTTTTTAAAATTCAGGTTCAAGCTTGCAAACGGCCATCAATGTTTTTATGGAAATAGATGTGGTTTTATATCTTGCAAAACTATTTTACCTGTAATGCTGGAGTGAATTTAGTTAGAAACTATAAAAATCTTTCATATAATGTCTTGTGAAGTGTGTTATATCCGGTGGTATAAGTACTATACATTTATGCATATAATTTTGCATCACCTTGTTATACATATATCAAAAGTTTTTAACCCAAACAAAAGCATGTGATCCCTTTTGTTTGCTTAATTTCTCAAAGATTCATTCCTAAACACACTGTCCTGGGTGACTAGGCTCCAGTGGTGTGTGAGACCAGAAGCATGAAGCTTGGATAAATAGCACTCTGACCTCTACTA